TCCCAGGCATGTTACCACCGCAGAGTTGCAGCTTGTGAAAAATGACATGTTAGGACCCAGAATAAAGGTGGGGGCAAAAGTAAGTCTCCAGGATATTCCCCCCGTTCAGCCTCTCCCTCATCCGTGTGCACTTGTGCACTAAAGCTGTCAGTCAGCAGCCTGCCTCTGCTAAGATGTGACAGCCTTTTGTACGACAGAATATTTAAATTGCTCCCCCTGAGCCTTTTCAGCCTGCTGTTTGACTAACACTCCTTAAGTAGTGGTCACAACCAGCTCAGATAGCCCCTATCTGCAGCAATTGTTCTCCAGGCCCAGGAGTGACCTTCACATTTTCTGAGCCGACGGGTGACCCTGGGAGCTGGGGACATCTTTCGGGCACTGGCAAGGTGCTGTCTCCTGGGCAGGGACCTGCCAGTATTCCCCAAAGCACCTGGCCAGGGAGTTTCCCCCCCTCTCCTGCTGCCTCCTCTCTCCCAGACGGGTGCTCCTCACCCCTGCCTTCACAGTGAGTGCAGCACTAATTTGGGGATCCACTCCGGCCACAGACGGATGTCACAGCCACTGGCTAACGGGGGCACTGGGCACGCAGACCCACGCAGGGCTGGGTGCAGAGTCCTGGCACCATGCTGGGTTAAGGGACTCTGGCACAAGTCAGGATTAATCAGCACACACATAGCATGGGGCTAATGAAGGTCCGTCATTAGCAGGCGTGAGGCTGTCAGCTTTGTAGACAGGCGCTTGCACCATGCTCCCCAGTGCCATAGGTGCTGCTTGTAGCCTGCTCTGGTCCTCTGGCTCCTACTGACTGCCACGCCTGGTGCCAGCAGGTTACATGGCAAAGGCACAGTCCAAGTATTACTGTGATTGTCTTGGAAAAAAGATACTGACATTGTCCTGTAAAGTTTTTGTCTACTTTTTTCTGATGCTGCTTGCGATAGTGTAAGAGCAGCAAAAGGCGCTTTAATTTCCCAGAGCTGGGTCCATTGGTGCTGTTTAACTGAATGTCACAATTTTCTGTCCCACTAGATTCTGCAGCTTTCTGGCCTAAAACACCTAAATCCTAGACTTTTCCCACATGCCCAGGGTGCTGTGGGAACGCCAGCAACCAGGAGCATGCGACGCAAATCTTAACATCTCAGGACTGCAAATGAAGAGTTGGGATCCCCTCTGGTTTTCACCTAACGCTTCAGCCCACATTTTGCAGGATGAGGAACAAACCTTGTTTTTCCAGCCCTCCTCTCCAACAAGGGACAGCCAGAAAAGCAGCATGGTGCTCGAGCGGCACATCCGAGCAGAGGCGGCCGAAGCGACCCGAGGGACTCCAGGAGAAAGAGGCCACCAAACCCCCCTGGTCCTCAGGGCAAACCCTGCCTGGGGCACCCATCCCCACTCTCCTCCGGCCTGGCCAGGGCCAGCGGCGGGCGGCTGGGCTTCCTCCTCGCCACCATCCCCCCCACGCCTCCAGCCCTTTTGTTTTTCCCCCTTTCTCTTTGAGCACTGAGCTGTGAGCGCAGAAATCTGAACCTTGCCAAAACGCACAGAAAGGAAACAGAAGAGGCAGCAAATCAGCAGAGGAAGGGGGACACACACACAGGCATCTCCTCCTCCTCCTCTAGCTGGGGAGCAAGGAGAAAAGCAGGATTCTCCCCCTCTCCAGCTGGCGTCACACCTCATTAGGGAAAAGCCTGTTTAACGTCTCTCCCTCCTCCCAGCCCGGGACTAAATTCCCCCCAAAAAAAAACCTCCCTGCTCCCTGGGAAAGCAACCGGCAGGGAAAGGCCGGTTCCCCACACCCGCCCGCGCCGTGCCAGGGACTTGGTCGGGTACGGTTAACCCCACCGGTGTGCTACGGGCCAAGGCCGGAGCCCAAAGCAAACGCTGCTCCCGCAGAGCTGCTGCGAGCACGTATGAAACCCCAGCATCACCCACGTTCTGTTGCAATTGCTGCTCGGCCTGCTCTTGAGAGCACGCAAGTGCTGTGGCCTCTGGATGCGTGGCGGTCCAAGCCCCACGCTGCCCAAAGCACACTTCCTCCCGACAGCTCCCCAGGTTTCTGAGAGGAAAGACAAGGCAGCCTCCCAGGTAAAAGTAAGCGAACGAGTCCACAACTGCGCCAGCAGCGACAGCCCCGTCACCAGCACCAGCGCAGAGGTGACGGCAGGGCTGCTGCACATGCTGGCTGCTTGAACCACGGCAAGCAGCCAGCCAGGCTCCAGCTCCTCAAAGTTTGGGGCCCTTGTTTCAGAAGACGGGCTCCTCCAACACCACCGGGAAGCCTAGCGCGTGCAAGAGCCCGGCAGGAACCGCCTGGGTGCTGAGGGACGGGACTACAGTTTAAAGGCTTTCTCTGCGCTGGAGCTGAACCATCTATAACTGAATCTGATAGACATAACCAGTTTAAGTACAGCTAATCCTTGTCCAAGTTAGCCATCAGTTTAAAAGCCCCAATCCCTTCAGCTCTATTTCCATACCGCCGCTGTTTATCAGCTTTCCACTGCAATGCTCCCAGGTGACTCAACAGGCTTTTGCAGAGGCTTTAGAAGATCACTGAAAGCTACCAGTGGGCTGTGGTGAGCCAGCCCCAACCCATGCGCTGAAATTTCAACACCCGTCACTAAATTGAGTCAGGATGTTCTTTTCCCCCCACAGATAATTAATAACAGGTACCCAGGCAAGAGCCTGGCAAATCCACACAAAAGACCACAGTTACCTGGATTGGGCAGGAAGACGGGAAGTCAGCTGCAGGTCTGAAATGCTTCCAATGAGCATCATTTACCGCTGTGTTGCCTGAAGCCGGTGTGCGTACTTCACATCTCCAGCTAGGAGCTCCTGCTGTCCTCCCCACCGAAGAGCCAGCTGTCCCCCAGCTGCGAGGAGGATGCAGAGACCTGGGGACAGACTGCTGCTCCCCCAAACGCATCCCAGATAGGAAAGTGTTGCACTCTCCTTTCGGCTGCAGAGCACACCCAGCCAGTTCACCCAAAACAGCAGCAGAAAGCCAATGCAATGAACAGTGGGAACGGTCCCGGAGCTCAGGTGAGAGGATCCAGCTACATCACAAGCCAGTTGCTCTGCCACCCCCCACAACTC